ACAGGCCACAACACACCACGTCTCCTGGGCATCAGCGCCATGCTCTACACGGCGGGCTCTCACCGAAGCGAAGGATCCACGCCCCAGCGGCTCCGTCTCCACGGAGTACTGCAGCGCCCATTCGCGCAGCGCCCTCCCGTGGGCATCGGTACCGCCGCCGCTGCTGCTGCTGCTGCGAGTAGGCGAGTCACGTTGTTGCGACATCTCTCGTCGTCGTCGTGGGAAAAAAGACTCGCCGCGTTCTTGTCCAGCTTTACCAGTTCTCTCCAGGGCGCGGCGCAGCAGTAGCTGCTGCTGCTGCTGCTGCTGACAAAATAAAAGGCGGGGCGCTTGAGCTACTCCCGCCTCTGGACTATCTCGCGGTGTGCGCTGGCATGAAGCGCGCGTGGCTCCAAAGCCTTGGCTCCTGATGATCGACGGAGCCGAGGTGGTTGCAGGAAACACAGCAGCAGTTCAACGTGTCGCGTTTTCAGCAAGCGAAAGAAAGCTCCGATGCTCGCAACACTGGACCGGCCCCCTACCCCTCCCCTCGAATCGATACCCTAGTGGCTGCGAGGGAGGAGGAGCCCCGGTCTCTTGGAACTGTTGATCGAGGCAGGTTCTAGTGGAGCAGGTTATAACGTTTTGTTGAGGTGTGTATTGTAGGTGTGTTCGTGAGCTTACATCGACAGCACAGGTGAGGTGGATGGGATGGAGACCGGCTTTTGGCGTCGCCACCCGGACCTACAGCTTGTTTACTTTTTTTTTTTTCCGGGGAGGTCATTCCTGTTGGCTCACAGCGCAGCTATTTTTAGCTTAGCCGCTGCTGTGCAATACACAGAGTTGAGGAGTTACATCAGAACCAATGAGACAGGCGAGCGTGGTCTGCTTGGGTGGTGGAGCTGCGGTCATTCAACCTCAACCTGAACCGAAGTCTCTCACCATTTTTGAATTTTTCGCAACACAGCACCGCACCAAGAGTTCCCTCGACCCTATGCATTTTCTACAGCCAGTAGGGGCGAGCGAGATCCAAGGATACAGCGGTCGTTATTGCATAGAGTGGTAGAGTAGTGCCGGTCGCTCGTCGAAAGAAATACTTCCTGAATTTTGGATAATGCTCAAAGTCTTATGTTGCCGCAGTCGATTGTGGCCGTGTTCTTGTTTTTCACCATGACGACAAACGGCATCCTCATCTTATTACTGTGCATCTCAAGTGCCGACATGTATGTATACATAGACTACAGTATGTAGACACGTGTCCACAAGAACCAACTCTTTTTTCACAACAACATATAAGTACAAAACTTCCATTCTTGCCATAACCGCTCTCTCCACACTGTTTTGCGTACCCATGTCACTCGGTACTCGGTACAACAGCTGTATTACTACTTCAATATTACTAGCAGAATTCTCCAACCACACACACACCATCTCCCTTTGGAATTGAAATCGTGAATTTGTCCCGCTTTCGGTCGTCCCCACCGGAGAGTTGATTGTTGTGCTGTTGCGGACGTTGTTGGTGATCCGCGTCCTGGTACGTTCCCGGTGTGCGTGCTCATTTCCACGCCCCTCCGCCAACTCGACGCTAACGTCCATGGGCTCGAGCACCTCCCATGCTCTCCTACAGCTGCGTTGCACCTCGTCAACGCTGTACGCAAATCAAGAGGCGACCGAGCTTATGGTCCTTTGAAACATGCCAAATCACTTGGCAATGTGGCTCGTGTGTGGGAAGCTGGCCGGCCGATCTGCCAAAGGAACCACACCCCAAACCAAGCCTCAAGAACACAAAACGCGTTTAGTCAAGGCCCGGTCTAGCTTCGCTGGAGGGCGCTCCGGAAGACGAGCAAATCCGTCCGGAAGCTGCAGGTGATCGTGAGGTTCTTGTGGGAGTTGACGTCATCATCGCTGTCTCAACCTGTGACACGGGGTCACGGACGTTGCCGAGAGGATCACCTACGTAGTGGATGCAAAAGAACAGAGGATCGTGGGTAAAACTAGGTGACGTACAGAGCAGGCCCACAGGGCCCCGTTAAGAAGTACAACGGTGGTCGAGTAATGATGGCTCGAAGATTGTATCTCACCTTCACAGTCGAAGCCTGAGTCGCTGTCTGAGATAGATCCCCCCCCCCCCCCCCAGTGTTTGCCCTAGGGGTTGGGGTTTCGTCCCTTGGCAATTACGTTGTAAAACAAGCCGCCCCCCTCGGTGTTTGCCATCGGGGTTGGGTTTTCGTCGCTTGGCAATGACGTTGTAAAACAAGCCCCCCCCTCGCCCACCCCGGTGTTTGCCATCGGGGTTGGGTTTTCGTCGCTTGGCAACGACGTTGTAAAACAAGTCAATTCACTTCGTGAACTCGGCAACCAGGTTACCGGTTTTTTTTTACATCTGCTTTTTTTTGGCGGTAATCATAATGGTGGTCGAGTAGATCACGTTGTGCGGGGTGGAGAACCCTCGCTCCGCGCAAGGGGGATGATCGCACCACCTTGTGTTAAAATGGTCAAGCATCCTCGAGGCAGTTACACAGTGCTTACAACTGTCTCTGGAACTGAAAGCACCAGAAAATGAATGAAGTCATACGCAGCTGTCATCCGTACGCAAGGAAGTAAGCACAAGATGCCGAACACCGTTAGCAGGATGCAGCGCACCCTTTCATGCGACTCGCCGAATACCTCACGGCGCTTCGCGCTTGGTGATGTGAGAGCCTGGTTCGGTGAGAACCCGGCGTGCTCCGTCCCGGCTTTGTAGGGAAGCGAGGTCAATGGTCTAACGACTACGGCATGCACGACTATGAGTACACGCCCCCCCCCCCAAATTGGTCAAGCACTCGAGGAAGTTACAAAGAGCTTACAGCTGTCTATGGAAGTTAAAGCACCAGAAATAAATTATGTCATACGCAGCTGTCATCCGTACGCCAGGAAGTAAGCACAAGATGCCGAACACCCTTAGCAGGATGCAACGCACCCTTTAGCGCCCCGTTACGAAGTACAACGGTGGACGAGTAATGATGGCTCGAAGATTGTAACTCACTTTCACAGTCGAAGCCTGAGTCGCTGTCTGAGAAAAAATTGGTCAAGCACTCGAGGAAGTTACACAGTGCTTACAACTGTCTATGGACGTTAAAGCACCAGAAATACATTGAGTCATACGCAGCTGTCATCCGTACGCAAGGAAGTAAGCACAAGATGCCGAACACCCTTAGCAGGATGCAGCGCACCCTTTCATGCGACTCGCCGAATACCTCACGACGCTTCGCGCTTGGTGATGTGAGAGCCTGGTTCGGTGAGAACCCGGCGTGCTCCGTCCCGGCTTTGTAGGGAAGCGAGGTCAATGGTCTAACGACTACGGCGTGCACGACTATGAGTACCCCCCCCCCCCCACCCCCCCCCCC